CCACTGGCTGATCCCAGCAGGAGCTCTGGGGCTGAGAAGGCCCGCCCTGCAGATTGGCCCCACTGTGGATTAAGGGAGCCAGGCCTTTTACCCACCAACCAGTCATGAGATGCCGGCTGTCCTTGGACAGGGGTGTGACCTTGTCTCGGGTGGTCTCTTCGGCTAAGACAGTTCCTGGAGCTGAGCATCCTCGGGTACCAACACTCCCACCAACTGGGGCAGCACCTCGAAGGGGAGATCTGGGCTGTGCCACACAGCACCTAAGTAGTTCACGCCTCGTGACTTGGGTGACTCTCTGCTACCACTTCTTCACCCCAACCTGCCTCATTTAATTCCTAGAGCTATGTAAAGTAATATATGTGAAATGCTTAGAAAAGTCTGCAGCGCACAGTGGGTGTGATTTAGGTGTGTGTTATTACAATCATATCTGACTTTCTCAGCCCCCACCTTTCCCTTATAGCATGGTTCTTTTAATATTCTATGAGTTTGAAGGCTAATACTCTTTATTATTAATATTTGCTAATTTTTTGCAAGGGGAAAACATCTGACAATATCTTAGTAAGAAATGATTTACTATACTATGTATTTTGCACTTTAAATTTTAGCAGAAGAGAGATGCAAAAGAAATAATCACTGATGATGAAATTTGAAGGATTGGCACACAGGTTGAGCGATATGTTTAGGTGTGTGTTAGTTCTGGCCTCCCTTCAATAACTTAGATAAGGACCCTCTGAGTTAAGGGCAGACCCGTCTCTGCTGTTGAGCTGGTTGGATGGTAGCAGCTCGTGACCAGGGGAGAGTGTGCAGCTGGGAAGGACCTCGGGGTCTGGGCCTTTGTCTTTCCTGTCACTCTCATTCTAAGTCTAAACATTACAACATACAGTCAATAAATATAACATTACCACTTAATTAAATTGCCTCTTTTCTTAAACATTTCACAATCATTCTTTTCAATATTTCAATATTTACGTTCCATAAATATAGAGCAGATCACCTGCAGTGTTTTAGAAATTTGGTTTTGATTCAAAGTAATGTTCTCATGGAGGCTCAGTCCCTGCCAATTCATTTTGCATTTACTTGGGGACATGGCTAATTCCTTTGGACACTTTTTATCTCCTTCATATTCCTTTGGATGGAAAACATTTCATCTGAAATGGCTTAATTTGCCCCCTCTTCCCTGAGAATGGCAACTATATCATATTCAGTTGTTTGCTTTTAAGAAACTCGGACTTCCCTGTTGACATTAACACTGAGAGAGTTAAGAATGTATGCCACAAAACACTTCTTTAAAACATAAAGTGCGCCTGTTTTTTCTGTATGTGCCAAGAACCCTAACAGAGACAGCACAATAGAAGAGGAAATAATGTAACCCCTCTTTTGAGTGAATTTTTCTAAAGAAGCCTTTCTGTAATCTATTTTCCTCCCAGTTTTAGGTTGCTTATAGCTATTTTCAATATCTTTTAAAGAACTGAGGGTGCTGGAGTAAAGCATGAAAAACTATTTATCCACATATTTATTATACAATGATTCGTGGAAGAGGAAGATTATATGGGTTCTGTGTAGTGAGCAGGAAGCTGAGCAGTGAGAAATTTTGTCTTGGCTGTTTGACATTCACTTGGTTTTTGAGTTGAGCTGCCTGTTGTGGTTTCCATGCAGAATTCTGGTCACCTTTGTCACGTGAGCCAGCAGCCTCATGGAGATCATCTTACTCCGGCAACCAGCAGTAGTTATTTTCCTACTGAGATTAGGAATATTGAGCCCATTTAAGTTTTCATTGCCACATTGTTTTAGAGAGGGATGTTTGGGAGGGCTGAAAATGAATTCAAGATTTAAGGTTGGTTAATAGATGTATAAATGATATTAATGTTTAAAGTGGTAAAAACTCATAACAAGGCCTATCCCAAAGCAAAGATGACTTTTGTAGCTGTGCATTTTGGGGATTAAAGTGCATGAACCCTCTTTGTTGAGCTTGCTATCATCATGGGAAGTGAGTTCCATATCCAAGAAGATTAGGTCAGCACAGTTTTTTAATCTCAAAACATGAAGTTATGACCTTTATAATATATGACCTTTCACTTTGTAGGAGATGTGAAGTAAACAAAGAATAGTTTGGACAAAACTGTTTATTGTCTCGAAAATGGCCATAGGTATGAATGATTCGTACTTGTCTATTTAATCCCAAACCACCATAACAATGGTGTGATAGCTTTGCAGAGCACAGCTTCCTAGCGACCCTGCATGTACACATCACTCAGTGCTTCCCCCTTTTTTAGGGAATGCAGGTGTGTTTTTATGTGGATTCTCATGAAACATTTGTTAAGGAATTTTTTCAATCTCGATCCATTGTTTTAAGTTTTAAAATGATTAAAATCTAACCACAATACATTGGAGATGCGAAGAAAGAGTTATCTAACTAAAACACTTTCTTATTCAAGTAGAATAGCTTATTACTTTCACTTAAAGTGCTAATCAAAGTTAATCAATTCTTAGATTTTTCGTCTAAATTTATACATTTAATGCAGTCATGAACAGCTAAGTAAATATGCTTGCTTAAATGATAACTAATAGAGTGGAAGCATATTAAACTAGATTTTAATTATTCTCAAAGTTTTGCAAGTGAAATCCTGAGTAAATTTGCTCTTTATTTACATCATGTAAATAAAAGGCAGAAGAGGAAAGATATCTAACCAACCTAAACTGTAAATTCCAGTGAAACCTCATTATTAGCATTTACATTTTCTCTAAAAATGTAGGACAACTTTAGGGACATTCAAAAGTTGACAGAAGGAAAGGAAAGTTCATGTGGGTGTTGGCTGTCTGGTCTACTGGGCTAAATGAGATGGAAAAAGAAAGCATGGAGTTATGCTAATGGTTCAGTTTCCAACAATAAACCTGGTGAGTTCACTTTAAGTGCACTCTGCTGAAAATTGATGATGATTTTTAGCACTTAGCTTCTTATCTCCAAAGCACTTTCCAAATGTTGAATAATTAATTGCCACAGCCCCCGTGTGGGGGTAGAATATCAAGCATGTCTTTCTATTTACCAGGAAACCATTATGGTAGAATCTGGGAATGTTGTTTTTATTTTTAGAGGTTTCTGTGCTTTCCAAGGTGACTAGCTTTTAAAATGCTGCTCTGGTTTTTAATCACTGGGCCATGGGAAAAGTAACCAATGATGTCAAATACTTGAAAACATTTTTTTCTCGTTATTCCTTGACAGATTTCACTTTTTATTTCATTTCTGCCTGCTCATCATTTTGCAATACAATTGCTTAAAAGTGGAATATTAAATATCAGTAAGCTTAATCTTTGTTATTGATATAGTATCTTTTTACCTGGTAAATTCAGAATTGGGAAACGTGGGGGAACTGTGAGAACAAATCTCAGTGGCAAAAAAATATTCCAAAAACAATTAAAAATCCTCACCTGAGAATATATTTTTATTGATTTTAGAGAGAGAGAGAGAGAGAGAGAGAGAGAGAGAGAGAGAGAGAGAGAGAAACGTTGATGTAGAGAAACATCTACTGCTTGCCTTCTCGTATATGCCCCAGTTGGGGATCCAACCCGAAACCCAGGTATGTGCCCTGACCGGGGATCGATCCCACAACCTTTTGGTGTACAGGATGGTGCTCCAACCAACTGAACCATTCAGCCAGGGCCTGAAATCAGTTTTAATAAATTAAATAAATGTATCTTTCAAAGAACAGTTTTGGTAACTTTAACTTAATCTTGGAGTCTGAGGAATAATGAATATAGACTATGTATGTACTTATATATCAGTTTAGTAGTGTATTACAAACAGTTGAGCTATATGACATATGTAGAGGACAAACTTATATTAAGAAAATCAGAGGACGTCCTCACTCTACATGAGGACACCGCAGAAAGTCTTCTGTGAGCCAGGAAGCGACCTCTCATCAGACTCCAAATCTGCCAGTGCCTTGATCTTGGACTCCCAGCCTGTGGAACTGTGAGAGCCCAAAGTCTCTGTCCTATCCCCACTGAACAGTCCTGTCAGTTCCTTTTGGAGGAGGTCACAGTGAGGACGTGACCACCAGATGAGCAGTGAGCTGGAAACTCCTCACCCTGTCCTCCGTCCTCGGAGTAGCCTTTCTTCTCGTCGTTCTGTAGTGGGAGCTGTTATATGGATGGAATGCTGAGAGAGTCAGGTGGTGTTGAGACCAACAGGATGGTATACATGACGGAACCCAGTTAAGGCCTCTGTGTTAACTTTTAAAATTCAAAAAACTTAGAGAACAAGAAAGAATATGAGTGAGGCTAATTTAGTGTAAAGCTGACAATTGCCTCATGGAATTAATCAATCTGAAAGGAGTTTGAGAAGAGAGGGGTCTTGAGTGACAGTGTGACATGAAAGCCTTGAGTAAAGTGAGTGACAGAATTTGTGTGGACTGTGGCCTGCCTACCAGACAGCACCGGCATTACTAGCCAGACTAATTTCCGGCTTGTTTGTGTTGCCAGTGGCAGGGTGTCTACTGTTGACGTCTCTGGAGAGAGGCAGGATGAAGTCACCTGACAGGCTGGGAGGCTCAGCATCCCTCAGGTTCTCAACCTTTGAAACAGAAAAGAGTCAGGACCTTTCTCTGAGAACAGCTAATCCCTTTCTGCTTTGAAAAACTCACAAGATAACAAAGACAATGCTTTGGTGATTATTTCTGATGAATACTGATTTTTTTTCATGAGATTAACACTTTAAAAGACAAAGCAGAATTAGATTCCTTTCAAGGTGATGAAATTCTAGAAATCAGACTTGTCTACACACTTGTCTAGTAAATGTGGGGGATAGGTTCTGCCTTGAGATCTGGAGTCCATGGGTGAGCTTTGTGGGGAGCTCACGAACCCCCGGATATTGTATGCAGAATTTTTTTAATAGCAAATCCATCACAGGGGTGGAGCAATACCCCTCAGCAGAGATTCCCCTCACACCAGATGGGCCCATGTCAGCCTGTCTGTAGGGACTTAAACTGATGAGATGGCCTGACACATGTGGGGACCAATTTCCATGAGTGGGAATAGCTAGAGAGCGATCTTTGTCATCAAACCTTTGCCAGCTCCTATATAAAACATGCGGCAGAGTCAGGCCCATTTGTAAACTTAAAACGGTTGTGCCACAAAGAAAACCACTCCACCGTATGCAGAAATTGTATGTACATAATGTTTTTGAAGGAGTGAATCCAAAGGAGTTGTGATGCTGCTAAAGCTGTGACGTACACATTTAATATTTAATATGGACGAGTGTCCCTTAAAAATGTTTACTTAGTCCCCTCTAAATAACAAAACAAAATATTAGTTTCCATCTTTTTACTCCCCTAAAATCTAGAGGGAAAGGAAATGAGAGTCTCTCGGCTTCAGGATATCACTTTTAAAAATCTAATGTTTTTATGTTATCAGAAACATCAGGAAGTGCAGTGATGGAATCACCACCAGTGAACATGGCTATTTAACTACAGTGCATTAAATTTCGAAAGGTGGTGATCAAGCCCATCTTATCTACAGTCAGTCCCGTGGCTTTCTTACATCTGAAGAAAGTGTGCCCAGAAGGATCAGGCATCTTCAACTGGGTATTTGTAACTCAGCTTATTTTCAAGCACGAGGTGTTTTGATAGCATTTGTGTGGGAAACTGCTCACTGCACACGTGACAGAACTCATACAGGCAGTAGGGGAGTTCTTTGCCTTGCTGTGTGGTTTCTTTCATAAGCAATGTAGCTGTTTTCCTGAATACTTGTAGATTAATTTAATTTTTATAAGTAAGATTTTATTTATATGGAATTTTGCAAATAAGATTTTGATTACAACTCATTAGGGAAAGCTTGATATTAAAGGAGTACTGCAATATAAGAGAATCCATAAATACTAGTGCAAAGTAAGTATGAAAAATTAGGGTTCTTTCTTGAGTTCGTGGTTGGCCTTTGGGAAATGGGTTCAACCCCAGGCAATTATAGCAATATTTTATTTATGTTTATATTTTATTCTGAGTTTAGAATTTACAGCTTTCATTAGATTTTCAAAAGGTCTAGAGCACTCCCCTCCCCATACAAAGGTTAAGAATAATTAGCTTATAATGTCAGAATCTTATATTGGGTTGGCCAAAAAGTTTGTTTAGTGTTTTCTGTAAGGCGGTTCTGGTAGTGTTGAGTTGTCTTTAGCTTCATTCAAAACAATATTTTGACAGCTGTCATATCAGTATGCATTTAAAACAAACATCAAAATTGGTAAATTTTGTGCTGCCATTTTAATATTAAAGATGGAAGAAAATATACAACATTCTTGGTGTATTATGCTTTATTATTTCAAGAAGGGTAAAAATGCAACTGAAAAGCAAAACAAGATTTGTGCGGTGTATGGAGAAGGTGCTGTGATTGATTGAATGTGTCAGAAGTATTTTTGTGAAGTTTCTAGGTACTATTGACATTTGGGCCAAATAATTCTTGCTGTGGGGCTGTCTTATACATTTGAAGATATTTAGCAGCACCCTGGCCTCTACCCACTAGAAGCCAATAGTGAGAGATAGCCAGCATACTCAAAATATCCAAATCAGTAGTTATTGTTAAAAATAAAAAATATCTTTTATTTTATAGAAAAAAAAACTAAATGAACTTTTTGGCCAACCCAATATATACTTATCTAACAAGAAGCTTTCTACAATTTTGAAGATTTTGCTCAACTTCAGAAATTTAGACATCTTTATTGGTAAGGAATAAACTTGGCATGACAAAATGGAGTTTGAAAGTATTCAGGGCTGCCCTGGTCTGAATGTTTGTTGTATCTCTCCCACCCAAAATTCAGATGTTGAAATCATAATCCTCAAAAGTGATGGTATTAGGAGGTGGGGCCTTTGGGAGGTGATTAGGTCATGACGGTGGAGCCCTTATGCCTGCGGTAAGAGCAGGGTCAGCATTATGGCCCAGTGAGATGAGTGGAATTAGGGGTGTCACAAGAGGTTCCACAGAGCTCCCTCAGCCCTGTGCGGATACAATGAGAAGTCTGCGACTTGGAAGGGGGCCCTTACCTGGCCATGCTGGCATCCTGATTGGTCTTAGACTTCAGCCTTTAGCACCTTGAGCAGTAAATTTCTGTTGCCTATAATCTCCTTGTGTAGCTATTTTATCATAGCACCTGAAGGGACTAAGACGATGGTTAAAAGTTCTGTAGATCTATTGCACAACAATGTAAATATATTTAACACTACTGAACTGTACACTTAAAAATGGTGAAGATGTTAAGTTTTAGTTATGCATTTTGTCATCACAATTTTAAAAAGTGTGTTAGGGATGAGTACGGTGCTTGATAAATATATATTAGGTTTAACAGATGTAGAAGAAGAAAAGCAAGAAAGATGAAAGTTGTTGCTCCATTAACTTGAGGGTCTGAGATTGAATATATGGGTTGAAATCTATGGATAATCCATGAATCTAATTATGACCAATAGTTGGAGCCATTTCACCCATGAAATGCACATTCATTTTGATTATTTAAAAAAAAAAGAGAGAGAGAAGGTGGTTTGTTACCCTAGGGATTGGTTCTGGTTTCATTGCCTCTGGCGTGGTTGTTTCCTGCAGGTGTGTCATGCATTGAATGTCCTCGGGCTTTTGCATCAGCCCAGGTGGTCATATCGCTCTGCCTTTTAGGACTGTGGTCTTGGGCAAGTGACTTGACATCTCCGTGCCTCTCATCTGCAAACGAAACATAACAATTGTCCTGATCTCATAGAGTAGTTGTGGAAAACCAAATGCTCTAGTATATATTAACTACAGTGCCTGTCTCATGGTAAGGACCTAGTAATTGCTAGTTTATTACTACTCTTGGAGCGATGCCTGCCAATAAGATAATAAGATACTGCAGGCTGAAGTGACAGTAAGAAGAAATAAGGTGTTGGCTGTATTCCAAACAATATAATCATTTCTTGAATAAATGAGAATTGACAGTTTATGTCATTGACACCAGTCTGAAGTCTCATGGAGATGTTTTATTTGATTTAATACGTCTAGACGCATGAGTCTTCCAAATAGAATATTTCTTAGTTTATTAATTCAAAATTATAAAGATTAAGAAAAATCTGTATCCATGTGTGAAGATAAATTTTTAGAATATGCTTTCATGTATTAAAGGAAAGTACGTGTATAGTTATGAATCACTATTAGTTTTAAACCCAAGTATAATTTCTGCCCCGGCCAGGTGGCTCGGTTGGTTGGGGCATTGTCCTGTGTACCAAAAGGCAGAGGGTATGGTTCCTGGTCAGGGCTCATGCCCAGGTGGTGGGTTTGATACCCGGTTAGGGTGCATGCGGGAGACAACCAGTCGATGTTTCTCTCTCACACAGGTGTCTCTGTCTTTCTCCCTTCTTCTCTCTCTGAAAATCAATGACTCGATCCTCGGGGGAGGATTAGAAAAAACTAAATGTCATTTCTCATTGTTAGGTGGATATTTAGCCTTCTTTTTTTCATATATGCACAAATGCACACAAACTAAACAAAGATTACTGACTATGAGATGAACTTTAAAATATTGAAATCAGATAACTTAGTGAGTAGACTTACTCTTCATCTTTCTGCAGAGGCAAAGGAAGCTCTGGAAGAAAGTGCTGCAAAATTTGCGACTTCACATTCTCCATGAATTGCTTCATGGCCTCCCAAACAGCGTTGAATTTCTAGGAAGTTCATGAAACCTTTTCTTTTTTCTTTATGCAGAAAAAAATTAGTGCTTGGGTTCTATTTTTATCTTATTTTCATTTACATTTGAGTTTAAACATTTTTTGAAATGCTTTCTTTCTCTGAGATTTTAAAATAATATAACAAGTTTATTATAATAGATACCTAGATATATTATTGGCCAGTTAATATCTTCAGAATTAAAAAAAGATTATTGGGAATAAGATTTGACATTACATAGTTTATCACATTACATTTAAGAGGCTGTATTGTATGGTGTAGAAGCAAATTTGGTTTATCTTTCAGTGATAAATTTCAATTATGGTTTAATTATCAATTATGGTTCTTTTTTCTATTGTGGTGTTTGCTTTTATTATTATTTTCTGGACTCTTGTATTTGAAATCACCTTCCTGTTTATGGTTGTGTAAAAAGCAAATTAATCCAGTTAAGTTGCGTTCTAGGATGTCTGGGTCAGGTTTCCAGACCCCTTGTACAATTTCTTGAGGATTCTACGTGGTATTCAGACAACTCTCCCTTGGGTCTAGAGTGATTGTTGATACATGACCAAAAAAATCTGACATGAGATGAATATTTCTCAGCTTTTTTTCTGCAGTTTATAGACTTGATATTGAGTAGTAATTAGTCGACCTATTTGGTTATGAAAAACAGCTTAAGTATCAGTAGAAACTTTGAAATCTTTGATCTTTATTCAGTGCTAAAAAGAGTCTGTGTCAGGCATTTTCTGCCTTTGAGGTTCATTCTGCATGGTCCGGATAAGTTCGGTATAAGTGACTGTACGTGACCAGGACATGTAGTTATTTTTCAATGCTTAGCATAGAATGCAAATCAAAGGACTCCCTACATTGTTTGTGCTTTTGGATGCAACGTGTTACATTTTTACATTCAGAATGATTTTCTTTGTAATTTATCTTGGGAACATTTATTTATTTACAGATTCAGCATGAATGCATCCTATGCTTTTACCACAAAACACCTTCACAAAATGGTTTATATTTTCATAATTACCTCCTACTTTTGCTGTGCTTACTCCTACAGGTTTTAGGGTTGGGCCAGCTATTGGGAAAGGATTTATGGTTTATTTGCTGTTAACGATATGGAGACTTAGTAATTTTGCTATGATTCTATACCATGGTAGGTTTTAGATCTGTCATTATCATGCTTTATTTAAAATACAGAAGTTTTTATATTCCACTGCTGAATCCCTAAACAATTTGTGCAGTTTGGGGATAGCTTATACCATTCCTTAGATTCTTTTATCAGGGAGATAGAAGGATATTTTGGGTCTAAAAAAGAAAATACTAACAACAAGTTTCTGTCCATATTATTGAGAATATACTAGCAAAATATAGCAGTGACTTTAATGTTGCTGCATTCTGAAGTTTTAAAAATGTGAGTATGTTCAACACACCTTCCTGATAAATGTGAGCTTGGACTTAAAGAGTTGGAACCCTGCCCAAAGC